AGCAGTGAAATTGTGCACAACAAACCTTTGAATGTCCGCCTTCTACAGCGCGCGCGGAAGAGCGTAGGAAGGAATGCCTTTGCAGATGCTCTAGCCGATGACGTAAATGTCGAGAATGCAGCGCTTCAGAGTAATGCTAATGAGATCGTTCAAAGCAGCGATGAAAGCTTTGAAATTGTGCACAACACACCTTTGAAATTCCGCCTTCTGCAGCGTGCGCGGAAGAGCGTAGGAAGGAATGCCTTTGCAGATGCTCTAGCAAACTCCTCTACAGCTAATCCGAATAAGGAGAACGATATTCACGATAACGAACCTCCATTAATGCCACCACCAACACTCAGCCCGTCAAAAAGATCTGTCAACAGATCTAAGACTAAGATCGACATCACGCACGAAAATTCACCAACTCGTAAAAGGTCAAGATCATCTCTGATTGCGGAAAAGAAACAATCATTAGACGCGCGAGCCAAAGATAATATTGAAGCAAATTCGAGCAGCTCATCCTTAGATGATGATGAATCCCGCAGGAAGAAGTCTGTATTTTTGAAATCAAAATCAGGAAATTTACGTAAGAGCTTAAATAAGAACCCGTACGAAGAAATATTAGAGGAGGACAGTAATATCAGCGCAAGAAAAAGTAATGTTTCAACTAAAGATAATCGCGTACCAGTGCAAGCCAACGATAATACTGGAGGAAATTCGAGCAACTCATCTTTAGATAATAATGAATCCCGCGGGAAGAGGTCTGTATTTTTGAAGCCAAAATCAAGAATTTCAGCAAGTTTTCGTAAGAGCCTATCGAAGAACCCGTTCGAAAAAATACTTGAGGAGGACAATATCAGCCCAAGAAAAAGTAATGCTTCAACTGAAGATAATCGCGCTTCTTTGGAACGAGATGAAACCGCAACAAGGATTAACCAGATGCGTGGATCTTTATCAACAGAGAAACGCTCGCAATCAGAAAGGAATAGAACGAGCGTGGAAGGGTCCGATATATCTCTTACGTCATCAAACTCACAGATGTCATCAAACTCAGAGAACCCATCAAACGTCGAGAGAGATGTATCTAAGAAATCGAATGTATCTTTGGAAAATAAGAGTAGAATATCAGAAAACAGCGATCTCGCGAATGCGTCAAAATCAATTTCTCGAAAGAGTATAGTAGCTAAAACGCCAGAAAAAGAAGTTTCTTTCAGCCGCAAATCCACCAGAGAGGAAACTTCGAAGAGACATACAAATGCGATTGGTAGTACAAGTACTAATAATATAGTAACACCTGAAATTAGCGATAATTCACGCGATGACACAGATATAGAACAAGATTTAAGTACTTTCAAACGAGTGTCTAAATCAGGCCCTGATAAGGAAGGTCGTTTGACGCGTGACACTTTAAGAAATCGGTCTGAAACACCAAAGTCTGCGAACATAGGAGTACATAAAGTTCTTGATAACTCGCAAAATGATGCAAGTAGCAAACGTGCTTCAAGTGTGCCCAAACGATTGTCCAAGTCAAGCCCCGGTATAGAAACTCGTTTGCCGCGTTTAAGAAATCGGTCTGAAACACCAAAGTTTGCAAATACAGTACATGAAGCTATTGATAATTCACACAATAATACAAATAGAGAACATGATTCAAGTTTGCCAAAACGACTGTCGAAATCGAGTCCCGCTAAAGAAGATCGTTTGACGCGTAACAATTTCAGAAATCGGTCTGAAACGCCAAAGTCTATAAGCAAAAATATGGAATTGCCTAGACGATCTATAAACTGGATCGCCGATAATGAAGAATATAACGTTAATGCAGATTCAGAAATAAATATAGGTGGTATCTCGCAGATAATGAGTTCTACGAGTATTTCTAAAGTTAACGCAAATATAGGAACACACAGAAGCACTATTCAGTCAGTTGAAATAGAAGCGGCCGATGGTGAAAATACAGATCTTGGGATCCAAATAACTCAACGACATTCCACTTCGACAGAAGCTGAAACAGGCAGCAAGGCAGTAAATCGGCAGAGCGTGCAGAGTTCGAATAGGACCAGCATTAAAGAGAGTAGAGAAACTGCAGGTAGACAAACAAGTTTGAATAAGTCCCAAAATTATCGCAATACATCGGTTAGAGCGTCAGGCAAAGATGTTTCTTTCAATGCTAGTAAGCTAAATTCATCAAAGATACCAAGAAAGATCGATGATTTTTTCAAAGTGAAACAAGCTTCGACAACGATAGATAAATCGAATGAGCGCGCGCAGAAGTCGCAAACCTTCGATACTGAGAAAATGGAGAAGATTAAGACGGAGTTGGAGAGAATAAAGAAGCGTGAGATGGCCGCGATGAAAAAAGTCACGACCGATAAGAAAGAATCTGCGTTAAAAACGAAAGATGTGAAATATCTTACGTCTAAACAAGCTACGAAAAAGAAGCCGGTCGCCAATGTTACGAAAGTAGTGAATAAGGCATTCCTGGTAGATGGAAAGGTATATAGAGCACCGAGACTCCCTCGTCCGAAGCATTGGGCTACAGATCGTCTTTATAAGTTTCTGTGGAATCGCATGGAGCCGAAGTACAAATTGGCGACGAGATTAAAGTCCGAGAAATTCGTGCAAGAATTAGCTAAGATAGTCTCTTTAGTTGAGCGCCGTAAGAATTATGAAAATTATGAGATCGAAATGCAGGCTCTGATGAAGCAAATGGCTCGCTTGGGAATTATTAGTACTCGTAATGATTTTTATCATTTCTGTCAGGATTTTATGCCATACGAGTTTCGCGTTAAAGTTGTACCTATGTTATTGCCCGGCAACAAAAATAATATTCCTTATGACCCAGAAAAGTTGTACATTCCCTTACTCGATAGCGATTAACACTGTTAAGACATAAAGACATAATTACAGCGCGACAGAATATATTAATTATTTTTTGAAGCTATGTTTATAATGCTTCTAATTTAATGTTGAGTGTACATATAACATGTAATTAATCTCTATATGAAAGTGTATATTATATAATGTTAACTAATACACACATATAATTGATAATATATTTTTGATAGATGCAAGATTAAAAGAAAAATGCGAAAGGTGTTGTTTATTGCACTATCTATAAGCTCCATGTAAATTTTAGAATACGATTATTTTTGTATTTTTCAATAAAAAGTAAAACATTGCGCATAGCGATAAGTATAGCATTACATAAAAACTTGTAACAAGAAACGTTTTCCAACCATTAAAATATTTATATATTATTCAATATTTTATATGTTATTGCTTTCATTTCTTTGAATTCTGAAGTATCTAAAAGTAACTTTTGAAGCTGTTAAAACTGGTGGATATACTACTCCGAAATTATAATTTCAATTATAATTACAATATATTGTTGATCTCTTAGGGCCGATATCACAGTCTCCGATTAACGTGATTCTCCGATTAAACTCACGCTTCGTCTCTTTCTAGGGGACAGTTAGAAAGAGATGCAGAGTGAGTTTAATCGGAGACTGTGATATCGGCCCTTAATCCCTTAAAAAGTTAGGGTGCAAATATATCTTGGATGCGTTATCGGAATCGCAATTCTTGAAAATTTTGGAAAAATCTTGTAATTTTGTGAAACATCTTCAAAATTTCAAGACATCTCTTAAATGATTTCAAGACTTTATATGTTTATTTCTATCAATGCAGAATAACTTGAATCTCGGCTGAATTCACTTTTTATTATTTTCCCAATCTTTAGAATTGGGAAAAAGTGAGTTAAACCTGAGATTAAAGTCAACCTACATTGGTAGAAATTGACAATAATGTTTTTTTTGTCAATATTTACATACTCGTTATTTTTTATTTGGTGCTCCGGCGTTTGGCACTTCGAAACGTAGTGGTTCCCACGCTTCTGATATTTGATCCTTCGATACCTCTACTTGCACTTTAAGCGATCAGTATTGCGTGTTTATTTACTTATTCCGGTTTATATACACATACATCATTTGCGCTTGTATAGCCGTGTTATATATAGACCTATTGTGATGACTTTACTATAAATATCCTCCTAATCATTCGCTCTGTATGACAATCTTTTTGCTCGAGTAAACACCTTGTTTTTCCACGACGTTCACAACAAAAATTATTTATGCTGCTTCGTGACGCGGATGGATAGGACAACATTAGACTAATTGTCAAAGATCGAGTATCTATGTGTGAAGTTATGCAAAAAGAAAAAGTCTTTTTCTTCTTAGGACCAGTTTAATTTAATAATTTAGTAGTTAAATAATAAATAATTTAATTTAATAAATAGGAATTTAAGAATTCTTTTTATTAAATTAAATTAGTCCTAAGAAAAAATGTTTTAAACAATTATTTGTCTGCTATTTACATTTTGTTATATAGAATAAATCTCTTAAAATCTAAAATTTGTATGAAAATTTATTTAATCGACATATTATTGTGCTTAGATTAACATTAGAACTATCAAAACAGTCAAAATGACTTTGTAACTTTTATCGAACGGTGCATTTTTCTGAGATTTTTTTGACTTGTTGCGGTATGTAAATTGATCAATTTACTTTCCTCCCTTTATCTCTTTTTTCAAAAATATATAGTGTACATTAAATAGTATAATCGTCGGTAGAGTTCTAGTGTTAAGTACAATAGGTGCCAACGATGGCCCGCTTTAAGTATTCCAATTATACAGGCAAATGTATTCATTGCGTGCCGAATGGCCGTGACGTGTCGGCTTTGCAAATATTTGCTACAGATCGAACGTCGCATTGACGTAACGGCGCTCATGCAATGCGTGACGCATTTGATAACAAAACTCGATAATATAACAGGGACCACAAAATCGTTCTCTTTCTAATTGTCAAGCAAATTTACAATTTCCAATTAACATCCAATTCTTTTTTTTATTTTAAGACAATATTTCTTACGGTTAATTAATCTCACATACGTAGATACACATACATACATACATACATGCGCACACACACGTTACACAATGCAAACCTCGTTTGAAGTCTAATCTCTATAATGGAACGGCCGCCTCAATTAGGCTGGACTTATTTTCGCTGGGCCGCGATGTTTGAGCGCGCATTTGTAGCCACGCGACACCGCCACGCGCCGCTCGTTATACCCCGTCGCCGATGGGCGATTGTTTCCCCTCAACCCCGCGAAAAATGATTGCCGAGTCCACACGTCGCCGCGCCGAACGGCTGGCTGGACGTGTTGCAATAATTGCGACGACGCAGTGAATGAATCACGTCGAGCGAAGAGAGATTTTGCCACCGCGAAATTCCGCGCTCATTTTGCGTCAGCATTCACGATGCGAGATACGCGCGGCGCGCGACCGCGATTTAATCGTAGACCAAACAGGGGGTCAGAGTACGCGCCTGTCATATTTTCACGAAAAGTCCAAGTTATTTTCTTACGTAACTGTGTATATTATTTTGTTGCCGTATAAATAACTTCGTGGATTCGCGACGAAGTGTTTTTGCTCGTGCGATAAGGCATGATCGTCAGTTCGAGACAACGCGATTTCCGAGGGGTTGGGGGGGGCAAATTTATCGGAACCACCGAACGATTAACTAACTGGAGCGCACTCGCGATTTCAATTCCGCGGGGGGTAGGGGGTGGGAACGGGGGTGGAGGGCGATCCTTCCACGGTCGGCTCTTGCGGCGACGCGCTCGTATGTTATGACAATTATGAGTTTTCCGTAGGGCCACTCGGGGGTGGCACGTGGCCGACGACACGCATCGGGGGAGGGGGAAGGGGGGCGAAGGGGGGACACGGCGCGTGCCACCGCGTGAGAACGGCCGCGCTCACACGCGTCACACGCACAGGACACGCGCGCGCGTGTGTGTGGCGCCGCAGCCGTGAGAGAAGAGGAGAGACGAGTAAAGCGCGTGGGGGGCTCCCGGGATTTAATTCGCGCTCCGCTCTCGACTTCCTAGTGCATCCTCTGAGAAGCAGCGATTAAATTTCGTTCACGTGCGCCCACTCGATCACTCGCGTTATCATACTGGCCAGAGAATAGATAATATAACATATAACATTTGGATAAACACGTTTGTTAAAAAAAAGAATGGATCTGTGACCGTAATGATATGTACGCTTCACGTAATATAACATTTCCAAAGGGCACGACAATTGGCCTTATCAAATGTAATGTAATGGACAATATCGATATTACATTTAATATCTTTTTTTAGGTACATTTTATTTCGGAATACGAGATACCTAAATTGTTGCGAGTGGACATGAAAGAGCAATGACATTTCAAAGCGCCCGATATGTGCGCGAAATTTTATTAATTTATTATAGCGCTGCAGGAATTGTTAAAAGGTAATCATTTGACATTTCGAAATTAAAAAGCGGCAAGATGAGCCAACAGAGAATGGGAATTATTGTAAAACTGTAAGGGTCTTTAATTAAAAGTTTCTTTGAACTAATAATAACGGTGCGAGAGTATTGTCGAGAACAACTCGGAAAGTTATATGAAAAATAAATCCGTAACTTTTCGCTGAGAAGATATATCGAGTTAAATAAGAAAAGCAAAGTTAAATAAGAATTTAACAAAGGCGCTGGTAAAACAATAAATCGGTAGCGCCACCCGCATTTTACGTTGCGTATGAAACGCACGTGTATAATATGTGAGTGTTTACGCATAAACGTGCTCGAATCTTTAGCGATGGGGCGGAACGGTTATGATAAAACGCCGACGAGTGCAACTACGTTTATCGCTATCTTTCAATATTTCGTCCTTTTTCCCCTCCCGGCGAATTCTCCCGTTTTCGACAATATCCCACAAAACCTTTTCCATATTTGCATACGTGTGGTAGTCACGTGCGTGCACGTGCACGCCGCGCGTATGCACGCGCACACGTCGACTCGTGTGTTCAGTTCTTACTCTTACTTATTGCAACGCGCATTTATGCGGCGCAGGTGGCACAGTTTTCCCCGGCAGATATTCGATAAATAATTCATTCATATGTCGTTCAAAATAATCGACGCGTAAATGAAAATAAATCAGCTCTATCCGCTTAATTGGAATAATATCGGACCTTGGACCTTTCGACTTGCGCGCGTCTCGATGCGATTAGACCGGGTATTACACAATCAATCGTACCGAGCAAATGCTGTCTCGACGATAAGTGTACGCGTATATAAGAAAAATAATGATATACAAAATATAGAAATGCAATCATCTAAAACGACCGCTACTTTGGACGAATTAATCGACCGGAATCGCGATCCAATGAAATTATCGCGTACATCAGCGTTTTATCAATCAGCGATTGCCTCTCGCGATAGACTTTCTCATTCAATCACTCGTGCATTAATCCAATTCGTTCTTATTCTCGCCTCTATATTCCCCACGGGCCATTGAGCGCTCGTTCTGTCCCATCGCACGGCGCGTCGCGTCGCACACACGCGTGCTCGCGTATTCCTTATCGAATTGCGCATTGATTAATCGGTGGCTCGAATTCTCTGGTCACGGACAGATGAAACTGTCTTGGTTTTCTCGTTTGTTACTTGCAATTTATCTTAAATTAAATACCGGCAAGTACAATACCTCCCCTATCCAATATCTTATAAAATGTTTATTTTACCGTCTTTTTAACAGATTTTTGTAAGCGCAAATGGCTATACGAGAAATATAAAAGCGATCTCATAAATATATATTCAATTTGGTTAATTATTATTCTCTATTAATAAATGAAAGGAAGACGCATGAAAAATTCAGGCGGATGTTCGGAAAAACAAGAGAAATGTCAGCTTAGTCGGAAAATTGTAGAAACTGCATTATAATTTAAGCGAGGGTGAGTACAAATAAATGTCATATCGCAATTACGAGTGGCCCAGATTTTTACGAGCGAATAAATTCTCGGATATGCATTTTACAACGAACCTTATTTATCAGAGTTTATCTGAAAACGAAATGTCGCGCTTTGAAAAAAATTTAAACCTTTGAACCCCAACATTTCCTATAGTGGCAGAGAGAAATGCGTAAAAAGCACGCTAAAAAAAAAGATTCAGAAATGAAGCTAAATGCGGCAAAATGAGAAATTTATCCTTTCCCGAGGGGAAATTTTCTCGTGTTAATAAGCGGCTTGTGTAGGTATATACCGAGCCAGGCGTAATTTGCGAAATGTCACATAAGCGGACGTTTATCCGTCACGTTTAAGACCGCCAATTATAAAATCAATCCAGTCGGAAGGGCGGCGTCGCCGCGGAGTGGAAATTACTGTTGCGTCAAGCCGGGCGTAATTGCCGGTCGCTCATTAGTCGCCCATCTCCGCGAGGGTTAACTGCCTCCGGAGCACGCCGGAGCAGCATGCCGCTCCGGTGGTCGCAGCCCAGCCTCCGGAAGTCTTTCCGCGTCGAGTGATCGCGGTCGAGGGGGTTGCGGCGCGGTCTTCTCGCGGCCTCGGGGATGATCGTGCGGGCTCGGTGTCGCCGGGGGTACGGGGCGTCGGGACGCCCGCGCCGCGCCGGTCGGGGTCATAAATGGGGAGGCGCGGCGTTCCGGAGCGGTACTTCGTCGCGTGACGCCGCAGCGTTCGCATCGATCTGGAGCGGACGGCGCGGACCGTACATACATAGGCGGACCGTAAGGGCGGATAGAGAGGCGCACGGCCGAAAATCAATCCCGGCGCGTGTTCGGGTTCTCGCGCGCCCGCGGCGAGGAGAGAAACGGATCCGGCGAAGGGGGCTGTCTCCCCACGGACTGTCTCTGCCGACGACGTAGACGGAGAAGACGAGGGACGGATCGGCAGCGATGCTGAAGAAACTCCTCGGCAAGTCCGGCCGCAGGATCCTGCGGGTAAGCGGCGATCCCGTTTTTTCCTTTTTTTTTTTTAACACGTTCTTCGACGACTCTCCTCCAAGTGTGTTGCTCGGTTCCTCGACTGTTGCACGTTTCGGGCGCGCGGGCCGACCTAATTTCCATCCTGATCGTATCACCTGGACCGCACCGCGACCGGAGGTTCCGCTCGTCCGATCGGCGGATCGTCGCTGATATTTTAAACGCCGAATTTCCATTTCGTCTCGTGCGAGATTTTTTAGCCATGCACGCACGTCGTGAAAGATTAATTCGCACGGTGGCGTTTACGTCATTCCGCCTATGCGTGAGAATTCCGTGCGCGACGGTCAATTATCACGGATCGATGTCCTTACGTGTTGTCGTGGCGTGATTCCGAGTCGACGGATAACTCCATATCATACAAACTCCATATCATACAAACACCAGCTGCGTAACTCGACCTTTTCGCGACGGAGTGTGTGCATCTCCTTTTTTACCCCCTCCTTTCCGTCTCCACCTTTTGCGTTCGTCATTCATCAGAGCGACGTTTCCTCTTTGCAGGCGATCAAGAAGCTGTCCACCAGGAGCCGCAAGGCCAAAAGGTCGCGCGATCCCAGTTCCTGGCACACGGCCATCCCGGACCTCGAGACGACCTCGCTCTCGTGGTCCCTGCCGTCCCTGGACGCCAAGAGCATCGACACGTACATGACGTACGTGGGCGAGAACCAGGATGACTGCACGTCCAACTGTTGCTGCTGCGACGAGTATAACGAGGAGAACCAGAGGAACGAGAACAGGGAGAACGAGATGATAATCTAACGTCCTCCGTGCCGCTAGGCGCACCTTCACCCCTCCGGCTCGTTTGTCTCGCGATCGAATTCGCTGGCGATCATCCCCGAGAGGGTGGTGATGAGAGTCGCACGCGCGCCGCTTCAATATTTAACCCTTAACTGGTGAGTACGAGTACTCTCGGCCGACATTTCCTTTTTTTTTCAAAGAGAACTCTTTCGCTTCCGTGACTGCAAACCGCCACGGCTGATGCCAATGGCTGTACCAAAGAGAAATATATTTATCGGGGACACGAAACCGGTTAAGGGTTAATAACGATCCCTCCGTGATCCGTTCCACACACACACACACGTGCGTGCGTACGCGTACATATACGAGCGCTTATTACGCGCTCCCTTATTTTTCGATAGTCACGACGTCGTATGTCGAAAAGATACTCTGCGGCTGGACCTCGGACTATATATTATAACCGTATCTCGATTCTCTCGGCGTGTCATCGAGAGATAAGGACGCGGAAGAGAGAGAGATGACGTTTTTGTTTCCAGTTAGTCTTCCAATTCTAGATTTATTTTCTATTACATCGCCAATATTTCCCTGTATTTTCCAGCGCGAGCCCCGCGTCGGCTCGTGCTCTCTTCGATCTCATTTAACGATATTAATTCCATAAGATATAGAAGATAGACGTATCGTACTTATATTTATTACCGTGATAAATTAACCGCGTTTACGAGCGCGGTCGCTGTATCGATAATTTAAGTTGGTCCGATTGACGACCTAATTTCGACGCGTCCGACAGTGGATCTTTCTCTCCTTTTTTTTTTCTTTCCAACGTCGCGCAAGTAGGGAAAGGTACGCCTCGCGCGTCATCGTCTCTTTCGACATAGAGAATAGCAATATGTGACGTAGTACAAAATAATATACATATATATATCGCCTAGCGTGTTTATCGACGATCGCTCGCGCGCGGAAATGACGCCCCGAAATATGTACTATTAGGATTTTTTCATCCGTCATCCGCGAGATTTTATCATATCGGGTCTAACTCGGGTGGATCACTATTTCGCAATATACTGTTTTCGGTGTCACGAACCGGATTTTTTTTTTAGGTAATCAATTACTTCTTCTCGCGGCTCGCAACCGAGTTCGTGCATGTCCCAGACATGTCCGCGGCGGGACCTTAATTACTGTTCGGGTAAATTTATAATCTCTAACTGGTATAAACCCCGAAAAGATTTCAGGGGGACGTTAGACTAGCGATTAAAGTAACAATTATAAAATTTAGGATAACGAAATAAATTGAAAACTATTCACTTCTTCACTTAACTGTGCACTGACGCATTGTCTTTCTGTGGCACACTCGATTGTATACGTATATCGACGAATCAAAATGTAAAAAATTTGATCGATCAATCACGAGTAGGACACGTCGATTATGCTCCCGCTATTTATCGGGGATATCAGAATTTCTAAGGGAAAAATTCGAATTTTTAAACTCGATGTCGTCGTCACTTTTACGCTGTATTATCGTCCTAGGTATATGTACTCAATATTTCGCGCGGTCAAGGTGCATCCGTTAGATTATAGTTAGCCGATACAACCAACCTTCGATACAAACAAACTTACCGGATTTTAATTCCAAAAGAAGAGCATTTGTATATCTACAAGCCACTTCTATTATTTCGAAAACCGATTTACAAACGAGCGTATCTTTTGTAAGATTTATTTCGAATTTGTCTTTTTGCCAAGTTCGAGTATCGAGGGTATACTTATGCAATAAGTCGCACCGGCCTGATCACTCGAACCGCGAGTTCTTCTATTTCCGATCGTTTCCGGCACCTTTGCTCAAAGCGCGCAAAGTCAATCTTCACTAAAAAGTAGCGAGAATCGTTTTCATTCTTCCTATACGGGTCGATTTGTAAGAAAGAGAAGAAGAAGAAGAAGAAGAAAAAGAAGAAGAGCTTTAATGACTTATATCTATGTATAGATGCAGAATTTATATATAAATATATAAAAATATATATAAGTAAAAAGACGAACCTACAAATATGAATGTGTAATATGGATGATGCGTGTTGATATACTTTATCGTCTCGATAAGGCTGTGACTTTGTAAAGCGGATGTGAGTGTCGTAAATAAAATGGTTTTATTGACGAACCAGGATGTGTTTCCATGACCCCTCCCGTCATCGCGTGTTTCATTGATCGCGCGACGTGTGTAAAGATATTACACACATGTGCGCGTGTACAGGAATACGTATCGCAAGACACACGCGGTAGTCCTTCGTTTGAATTGGTAATAACATCGATCCGCGCGATTTTCTCATTTACGGCGGCGTAACGATCATTCCGCAGAAAACATGTAATGCGAATGCTTATAGTAGCCTCCGCGACCAGCGCAACTATAGTTTCGCCTCTGTAATTCCGCGTCGCTTCTAATAACGTTTTAACGACAGGTTGCTCCACTTTCGCGAATGTCTGTATAACAATAGCCTATACTTATACCACGTGGCTTGATAACGATTTTCGCGATATTCTCCGTCGTTTTCAAAGACCTTCTTTCTTTCTTTTTTTGAAAACCTTATACCTTTTAATCCTCAAGGAAATCATGTATAGGTTTCCGTTTGAAGTGAAGATTCCCTTAAGATTCTCTCAAGGAGATTCTCTTGAGACTCCTTTGAAAAGATTTTCTCGAGATTCGCTTGAGAGTCAATGTAATTAGACGACTCTTAAGAGGAATCTGACGCTGCGGTTTTGTAAATAAACTATACTTACTTTAGTTACTTTACCACCCTCGTATTTATCGTGCTTTCCTCAATCGTGCTTCTTTCTAGAGCGTCAATCGCGTATATATCTCGCGATTTTAATGTAGGTCGAATTGCTCGCGCCACTGACTCAGAAAACAGCCGTTCCGTTTTACGTTAATCCGACGTGCGGCGTCAAGTTTTGACGGGAGAGACCACGCGGGCGCGTTTCGCGCAATTATGCGCGCGTGCGACCCACGGGAGGATCGCGCGTAACGAGCACGCTCCGAACAATGGGGCGCACGTGGCCGCGCAATATCAGTAATTCCCGAAAATTGGGTTTGGTCGACGCTTCGTCTCGAGCGCAAGAACAAAAGTAACCGTTGGCCGGAGTTTGTTAAAAAAAAAAAAAAAGGAAAGAAAGAAGAGATGCGCGGGCGCACACGCGAACTGTGTCGCGAAGCTAATGACTCGCAAAACTGGTTTGCGGATATAATGCGAACGGAAAGGGTTGTAAGCCCCGCATTGTTCTATGTATCCGAGAATATTCCGCTTTTGCGAAAGAGAGTTTTGCATGAGAAAAGGAGTGGAGCGACAGGGTCCTCCTCCCTCCTCCTCCTTCTCTTCCCCGAACACGTAAATTCTCGCCCGCAATTTTGTGTCGGTTTTCGCGCGAGGTATGGGCGCATGGAACGTAACAAAAGGCTCACTCGTTTGCCACGTAACGTGAAATACTGTGAGTTGTTAAGTGACCCACCGTTATTCCATCCGCAGCAGAACTAATACAAAATAGCGAACTTTCAGTCTTTCAGATTTTTTCTAATTGATCACCTCTCTCCTCACATTCCCTCCCTTTCGATTACGTCTTAGCGATTCAAATTAGACAGCTGTGAGATACACAAGATTTTGCTTCAGCGAACTTAGGACTTGCTCGTACCTACTTGGAACGTAAATAGAAAAAGGCACGATGGACGTTGACCATAAAGATCTTCAATTATGACAATTTCGCAGCCGCGTTTCGATCGGAATGTATTTTCTGCTTTCGTTCGCAAAGCATTCTGATCGCATTCGGAAGTCTTCCGTTCCTTTCCGTCGCACGTTCAGTTCGGCCAATTCGGACATTCGTTTTTTCGATCAGAATCATAAAAAAAAAACAGGATTACATAATAAGTAGAATCATGTATAAGCATCGAAAATATTTGGGCAGTCTCGAGTGTCCAGATTTTACGAATGATCGATGAGGGTATATTTGCGGGATGTTTTGTGTTTCTCCGGGAACTACCCCAATATTATGTAATAAAAATGCCCAAGTCGCATTTGAGTTTCCTACGATTGGCATATATATTTCGATTAGCGCCGCGATTCTCGGAAACGTATTATTGATTGAACTATCATCTTGGAGGAAAGTGCAAAAGGGGAAACCACATGTGACAAAGTTCTATATTTATATTCCTCGTGTTATCGCTTTATTACAAAATCGTATTGCAAAAATATTTGGATTTCTCCCACACGTATATACTGAAATGCGTAATGGCACGTTGCGAATGCGTATGACGACCGTTCCTCTTTCTTTTCCTTCCTTTTTATTGGCGCTGGACTTTACACGGCTCGCGCAATCGTTTATCGCGCCGTGACGAGCGCGAGTGGAATGACAAACGGCGAAACGCGTAAAAAACCGGAGTAGCCGGTCACGAGATATCCGATAAAATTACGAAAATTCTCATTATTTACAGAACGTATGTACAATTTATATATACAATTTTTTTTCTATCAATAAATATTTTTTTTTTTAGTTAGGTACTCGCATGACTATCATTATCTCACTCATTGAAAATACATCGATTTGATCGTTGTGGAAGTTCCTGAGATACGTTCGAAGTGTCAAAATGTTGTACAAAATGCATATTATTGTATGTACACGAAAACGGCAAAATTCGCCGCTCACGTTGCTTGCTGTAACGATATCCGCTAATTGTAAATATTACAAATCGTATACTTTACTATTAACAAATCCTCGAAAAAGAAACAACTATCAACATGAGCGCGAATACACGCTATCGCCATAATTAATTAAGTTTCACATATAAACTGATCGGCGAAAGAGTGGTAATTTACATCCTTCTCCACGTTCGCGGAAAATACAGACATTTGCGGAAGTGTTCGATGTATCCAGTCTACTTATGTTACCATATTTAATATATAAAACTGCAATATATAAAAGAAAAGGAAAAATTGTGAAATCGTTGAAATGTTACACTGGTCGGATTTTACCACTCTCGCGCCGAACCTTCATCGATTGCGCGTCAAGAGTTCACGGTCAGTACGCCAGTTCCGCGCCCCAGGGTCGGTAAGGCTTCCCGTGTTGCTGCTGGGGATACTGACCCGGGTACTGGCCCCAGCCGAGGGTGCCGCCGCCCAGAAGCGGCGGCATGGCACCTGGACCAGGCGGCATCCCGGTGGAGACCGTGCTCGGTGGCGGCTCGTAGCTGCTGGCTGTCGAGGTGGACGTCAACGTCGTGGAAGCCGGGGGCACCGCCGAGGCCACGGCCGACGGGGGATGTTCGCGATGGAAGCTCTGTAGGTGCGACAGCAGGCGCAGCCGAAGGGGATCCCTCTCGTCCAGGCCCTCCATGGTCACCAGGTAGCGGCCCACCTCGGCGGCGCACTCGCCCCAGCCTACCGCGTGGTAATCCATTGCCAGCTTCGTGCTGTCGTAGCCCTCTGGTCCTGCAATTGTGATTTGCATCGCGATTATGATAACGATCTCGAGTGTCATGCGCGATAAATCAATAAAGATAATATAATAATAAAATACTGGTATCAGTTCATTATTTCCTATACACGTATTCGAGGATTTTAGAACGCGCGGTGAAGCAAATCTTCTCACAGAGCAGAGAGATGAATTTATAAGCGAAGCTCTGAGCTCTGAGAAACAATCTTGATCTAACTATAAGTTAGAGGCAACTCTAAAGTTGATTTAACTTAAAGTTAAATTAGATTTTAACGCGGCTTTATCCGAACGCCTCGGAGAAGCGTAGATATAACGTAAAAGAAGTGCGATATTTTTTATGACGCACATAAATATAAATGCGTTGAAAACTTGAACCTTGAACTTCTCTACTTTCCTGCGATACAATTACTTAAGACGCGAGAGTTTTGATCTTCGTTTCTGGAGGAAGTTGTTCTCGGACGCGGGGGAAGCAGGTGTCAAGAGATGATATCGCGGTTTCCCCGGCGCTTTTCCCGAATTCATGGGCAGCTCGCAGATTGACAACGTGGAAGCGCATCTGCGGACGGAGAGAGAGCCTTTTGTGCACTTTTGGTTTTCGCGGCGCAACAATGGCCCGGCGTACGTGCACCGAGGCGAGATGGGCGCCTTGGCTTTAGTAGCAGGCGGCTCATTGTGTATAATGTGGAATGGGACAGGTAGCGTGGGAATCGTTTAGACCCCCATAGGCCGGCCTCACGAGCCTCATGCGAGATACACACACGCGCGCGCACACACCGTCAACGAAGTGGAGTGTCCCACGTTATTATGCAAGTTCTCAGACCGCCCTATGCAAACATCACTTCCGAAAGAAAAGCTATTGCGTATACTACAGCTCTCGTACGTCAAATCATCGCGCGATCGATCATCGTTGAGGCCACGATAAGTGGCCTCAAAATTTCGGAAACGTCCATATACAAACGGGACATGTCCGGAGCTTGCATTAAAAAAGAAATAAGAGTAATATGTGTGCGAAACACCGAAGAGTGTCAAACTCGTTAAACAAGTTAAACTTGAGAAAACTTTTCATGTTACTGTAAAGAACTGTAAGAAGGATATTATTTCATAAAATATTAATCTGTAATTGGCCAAGGTACCGTAAAGCCACGAGACAGTCGCTACCGAAGCTTAATTTTCTAATGTCGTGTAAACCTCGCGAAGGCACTATATCGTTCTCGCCGGTCCAAATGCCGCGATCGCTTTATTTGGCGATATTAAATTTAATATCGCTCACTTTTGGGGATGGGTCGCGCCCCTCGCACGCATTTACAAATAAGGAGGTCGCCGCGAGCGAGCGCGCGCGCGCACAGCACACACACACGCGCTCAAATGCGCGCACGTGTGGTGGTGCGGTGCGTGTCCGTGCACGCTTATGCGTAGCTAGCTGGTTTCCCACAGGGTTCGACATCTGCCCCAGGCCTGATCCGCCGAGCGCCTCCCTCGCGAGGGGTGCCGCGCGCGGAACACACCTCATCCCCGGGCCCGCCGCCACCAATCGTGGGAACACCACTTCCAGAGAGTCGTTGACTTCCTGTGCTTCCCACAGGATCTACGCGCCCGGTCCAGCACCTGCTCCCGTGGATCCCGGTTTACGGACGGCCTCTCTCTTTCTCGGCCTTCGCGGGAAACCATATGCCACTTTGCTTTGCGATTTTCTCCACGACACCGTAGCTTTTTCGAAAATACTTATACTCGTGAACTAATCATACAATGATGAAAGAAAGAGAGATTTTTGCAATTAAAAATAATAATTAATATTATTAAAAATAAATATGGATAATAATATTGTTCATTAATGTTACTGAAGCAGTGTACTTAAAGTTTGCGATAAAAATTCTTCAGAGAATGTTTTTCAATTAATTTGTGCCTGCTTTTAATTAAATTACCTAATTTTTTATATTTGTAACAAAAAAAAATTACTGATGATAAAATGAGATAGGTACATAGGTATATAATCGTGAGAGGACAGTTATTAAAATTAGACGTTGCGAATATACTAATCTTAGAAATCTCGTTTACGAATCTACGCTCGTAATCGCTCTCACGAATCTGCTTAATAAGGAAACGTAGAGACGACAGATGGGCATTCGGTTACGCAGTTACAGTTAGCGCTGCCCGCTCTTACGGCCAACAGGTGTCTTCCGGTGGAAAATAAAGGGCCGATAGCGCCGGCTAACAGAAAGACGTGTAATAATGGCGTAAGGAATCAAATTGACGCGAGTGAGCAGCCTTCGTACACGTCGTGGGATCATTAAATGAAGGGCCTGAGGAATCTCGAGCGGAGAAAAGGGGTGTCTCATTGATCCCGGAGGATCATCTTCGAGTTCCGCTACACGGAAAGGGCGTTTCTTCCGGATTCAGGGATCTTATTACTCGACGCCGTTACGTCTCACGACGTGCACTTCCGTTACGTAACTTCCTGCGGGAAGCGATAAACCTCGAACGATTTTCGCGCGTTCAGCGTCATCACGTTAGCACAGATTAATTAAATCAAAACTAGATTTTTTCCCCATCGCTTAAATATATCAAATTAAATTGTCCCTAACAGAATCTTTCTTGTTCTAAAATAGCATCTGGCGATATATACCGGGAGTAACATTAAACGCGAATGTAAAGATTTAATTTAAACGAATAACTCGAGCGGCACGGAAGCGAGAGAGGGTTGAAAAAGACAACACGATCTTACCCTTATTGCGAAGCGTACGCAGATGCTCGACGGTGAGCTGCAGAATCTCGGCCTTCTCCAGCTTTCCGCTGTGAGGATCCCTCGCCGCCGCCGGGACCAATCTCCTGAGCTCGCCGAGGGACGCGTTGATCCTGTCGCGCCGCTTCTTCTCGATCATCCCCCTCCTGCGTTTCCGCGACGCGTGCTGGCATGAGTCTCCACCGGGCGAGTTGCATCTGCAATGAGAATTTTGAAGAAGGGTTGAGAAACACAACAGCGCGCGTCAAGACGTTCCGTGGGTCTTTCTTTGTTCAAAGATTCTGCGACTGCGAGCGCGCGAGAGGAACTTGTTTTAATTATACATTGTTGATCCACCTCGCGGAACGCGCAACAACTCGCTCATTAATTGCGGCCGTGCTGAAACAATGCCGCCCTGATTGCGATTTTACCGCGGAACAAAGAGGCGCAATATGTCGCGTCGGCAAGCGGCCGACAATCGTCGAAGAGTGATTGTTTCAACAAGTACGTTGAAGCATATTTTAATTATATTTAATTAACAATATTTTCGATATGTTCAATTTCATTTTCGGAAGAAATCAGAAGTGTCTATTCGACTGGACTAAACTTTAGAAAATTATATCATAATACGAATTAAGTTTGTGTAAAATAATGCAGGGATTGGAGAGATAAAAAAACAGATATATATATACGTACGGCTCTTTGCCGCTCTCCTCTGAAAACACATCGTCGCAGTCCGAGTCGCTCATGGTCCTCTTCAGACTTCTCTGCTGATGTCCCTGACTTTGCTGCGACTGCTGTTGCTGTTGCTGCTGTTGTTGCTGCTGCTGTTGTTGCTGTTGCTGGCTATTGTCCTGACTTCTTAATTCCGTATCGATCTTCAGTTCCAAGAACTCGTGATTGGAGCGCAGCTCCGGCATCTCCGGCCTCATGCCCGGTACTTCTTGGTGCCGAACGTCCTGATGCCTGGCGATGTCGTGCCTGGACAGCTCCTGATGCCTCTGCATCTCCGCCGGGTGTCGCAGATCCGGTCGCTGCATCTCGTGTCGCAGCTCCTGACCCCTGAGGTCGCCGGTGGCCGCGATGGCGTGCCGAAGCTCACCGTGGGTGGCGGGTGGACGCATGTCGTGATGGTGACGCATGTCCGGGTGCTGCGGCGGAGGCGGCTGATACGGCGGATGATGCGGCGGCGGCGGGTAACCCCAATGATGACCCGACGGCGGCGCCGACAGCGTCGAAAGGTGACCGGGCGCGACCGCGCCGGAAGTGATCTCGGAGGACAGCAGGGTGCTGTTGTCGTCGGAGCGCGCGACCACCACCCGCCACATGTTGCGTTGGAGAAAGAAAGAGAGAGTGAGAGAGAGAGGAGAGTCGTCGAACGAGAGGATCGAAGCGATCGATGAAACAACTCCTGTACGAGGATTCGAAGAGATGCTTAATCGATTGGTCACTCAATCGCTACCGCCTAACGCGATGTGTCGGTGCCATAGCGATGCCCGGATGAGATGTCATTGTAGCCGCATTGCGATCGATGGAGAACGATCGTTAGCGGTCGATCGGCCGTCAGCCGGCGAAGAAAGTCGCAATCAAGCGACACTGATAACTGGAACTCGCGGACGACACCGTTATCATTAGATAAGCATGATGTAGCTTTTTGTCCTTTTTACGAGCGTACAATTTTCTCCGGAGAAGTAATCTGTCTAAAGTTCGATCACTTTTATAGAAAAATCTGTAGAATCTCTTCAGCGAATAAAAATCATTCCATCTTCACCAAGTTGTTATGATTAATCAGTAGAACCCACAAAATCCTCGATGATCTTCTATTGTTGAACGCGCGGCGGTAGTTCCATGAATTAAAAATAAAAAAAAATGACGAAACTCGCGCGGCGGGATTCCCGAATTCCGGAAACAAATCGGATCCGGAAGATGGTCCGAACTTGAAGATAACTCTTTCACGGACGACTAAAGGTCGCGCGACTTCCACCTCGTTGAAACATTTTGTGAAACTCGCGTGGCGGAATCTTGAGGAAGGTCAGGGCTGCGCGCGGCGGGATGCGGTTACCGGACGGCGAAAGGAGCACTCGGTCCTTCGGCGCACTTGTCTCTTGTCGACGGCGGGAGTTTATCGGCGCCCACGTGCCGCGGCTACCCGCGACGTCGTTCGCGGTCGCGTGCGTGCTCGTGGAGGAAGACGCGCGACTGGCCTGGACAGGCACTCTCAGCCGAGCTGCTGCTGCCGTTGCTGCTGCCGCTGCCGCTGCCACTGCTGCTGCTGCTGCAGGATGTGCGTGTGCACTGGTCGCGTGGCGGCCGACGTATGTCGTGTGCGGGAGGACGCAGGGACGACACACGACCGCGTGGTGTATCGGCAATTCTGGTGGGGATGATCGGAGGTGTGCACCCTCGGGATGGGGAGTGGGGCACCGGAGGAGCCCCGCGCGCCGTCCGTCCGTCCGAGGTGAAAAGCACCCCGCGCACGGCGCACGGGAGAGAGCGAGAGGGTTGCCGTCGATGGGGGAACGTAAATCGGGAGGGGCGACTTTCGTGGGAACGTCCGCGGCGACTCGTGTGCGAGCGTGCGTGCGTGCGTGCGTGCGTGTGTGCGAGCGTGTGGGTCCTTGATTGTGCGACTGCTGGCCAGATCCTTGCGCTGCACTCGGTCAAGGAGACCGAAGAGGAAGCGATCTTCTCGCCCGTCCGCCGTCGGCGGATGTGCGAGAAGAAAGAGACCGGAAACGTCCTTTTCCCCGGCTGGCGTGAATTCCCATCGTTTCCCGATTTTATTCCCGACATTATCGTTTTCAGATTATCGTTTCCCGATACTATAATCTTCTAAAGGAACGCGGTTGTCATTTACATCTTCAAAAATACAATGCAATATTTTCAATTTTTTGACAATTTTTATTATTGAAGAAAATTTATATATAACATTGCTGCGTTATTATTAAGTGTCAGATTAATGTTAAACAAGTTTGTCAAACTGTAAATTTTCAAGTACGGTTTATCGAGGTTTCAATCACCGTGTCTCTTGATATGTACAATTTCATTCACATCGAAGTACTTCATCGTTCTCGAATCCCTATAATACCTCTGTATAAATAGGGAGAGAGGCTTTTTATTCTTTCGAGGGAGAAAGAACGAGTAATAAAATTGAAAGATTCGGTAAAAGACAATCAGCCGATGCCTCAATCTCTCGAAAAGGTAGGCGCGCGTCACCATAAAATCACTCCGGTGCCACCCTCGCGTAGGGGGCAACCCCCCCTTCTGCGTTCGCACGCTCGTACATACGTCGCGGAGACGTTCACGCGTGTCAGGAGTACGGAAGGGGGAACGTTTGCAAGAGAGGAAGAGAGAAAGGGAGATAGAGGGAGGAGCAGGGGGGTGCGATCACGATAAAGTTCACACAGGAATCGTACGCGGCACGCGCTCGCATGATTATCGGCGCCTGGGAACGGAGCTGACTAATCGTATCGTTAACTTTTCAGCGGAGATCGACCGGGCGCGATTACGCGACATGAAATGCGGAAAGTAAATTGAAAAACCATTCTGGGAAAAGTTGATTCGAAACGCGCGTGAACATGTTTCGAGAAACCCGTAAAAAGAAGTAAAATCCGTTACGTAATTTTATTCTTAGCGTTCCTTAATTAAAATTAATCTAAAAAATATAGCGAGAGCTCTCACGTTTCTCACGTTTTTATCTTTCATCTCTTAATATAAATTTTTCTTTAATATAAACTCGTTTACTTTTATGTATCTAAAAGGAAACTTAATAAATGCGATCGAAAATGCTTCTCGATATCGTGGAGATTCGCAAAGCTTTTATCCCAACATTTTAAAATTAAAACAGAGTATTATAAATGTAATATATATTTTAAAACGGAGAGTATTTAAAAATTGTTACAATGTGTGCGTTGCATGCAACAACATTTTCGCTCTTGCAATTATGCACGACGCAAAGAAGTTCCGAAAAATATCGATCTCTCGTCGGATTACACACGCGAATCAGTTTCCCGAGAAACCGCATATCGTAAACAGAGATTAATGCAGATTAACATCGCGCTACGGCTACGTCTTGCAGATCGTTCCCTTATTTCCCGGGTCGATTGCATGCCGGGCGAGCGATGAAAACGGCGCGACGATGATCGCAGCGGGTATCGCGAGACGTGCTGCACACCGCGTCGCGTGCACACACGTCCAGCACACGTCATCACGCGATCAAGGGCGCGAGACGAGGTAAAAAGAAAGAGAGAGAGAAGGAGAGAGAAAGAGAACGAGAGGAAGGGAGGAATGCACAAAGTGGATCGCGTGCCCGTTTTTTTTTCTTTTTTTTGCGCACCACCGATCGGCCATTCTTCGTCGCCCCGAGCTCACGAGAGCCCACCCTACGGATAGTCCTTATTCCGTATTATGTAATATCTTCCTGCGCGCGGACCCGCCGTGCCTTTTAATGCCTCCTCCCTTCTGGACAGAAGGAGCGCGAGAGGACACCCGGTTCCCATAGGTATCGCGTGATCGCGCGCTCCCCTGGCTGGAATTTTATAAAGGGATGATGTAAATCCAAATGTCGACTCTCTGTCGGGAGCTGGATCCTCGCCGAAGATCCTCTTTGGATTATCTTATTTAAAGATCGACGCGCTTCGAAATTTTAGCTTATTAAATATCTTTCGACTCGACTCAGCGATTTATGTACCTATACGTTTGTGCAGTTTGCCGCTACGATTTATATTTTGGCTCTCGAACGAAAGGAAAGGGTCGATTTAAATAGAGTCCATCTAATATCACTTCCGCGAAATCTCGCGCGATTTATCTTTCACTTTATAAATGAGACTTATTCGTGATGGCGGCGCGTTCTCTGCATTGCAGGCAATTTGGTTGAGCTCGATAGAGCGCGGAAAATCGATACCTGAAGATTTAAAGCATTCGTCCCTATCTAAAAAAAAAGAAAAAAAGAAAAAGGTTCGACTCGAGAAAGAGAACGGGGACGCTGCCTGTGTGAGTCATCCGGTACCCATTAAGCGCCGCGCAGGTTACGATATCAATGACTTACATCGTTCCGTATTACGGGCCGTGAGTAGGGCCAAAGTATCCGTCCTCGTACTTCCGGTCCGCACGCGACTTCTGCACGTGAAGACACGTGGCGCAAATCGAGGTGTTTGCGTACACCCATGCGCGGCACAAGAAGCGCACACGCGCGTGTCCGCGTTACTCTTTTCGAGGGAACAGGAGGAACGTGCCTGTCTATGCAGACCTCGATATTCGTACGTTTCTTTTTTCCATTGCGTAGAATCGCTTATTTGCGCCGCACGCGTTAACTCCGTTACAGCCAAGAACGCGAAGTTACACCTGACGTTACCGGAACGCGCGCCTGGGAAACGGGAGGCAGGTATATTTAGGAACCTTTCCGCCGACGAAAAGAATTCTATTTATTATTGAGACAATTTAAAAGACACCAGATTTATACACGCTATCGAATTTTTAAAAAATATTCCGCGTTTCGCAATTTCGGAGACGATCGCCTCCGAGCGGGCGGAAAGCCCGGTGCTTTCTATCGGCAAATATTTATTCATAATTTCGTTTCAATCATGCATATATACGCGCGCTGATGTCGAGTGGATTTAGCCGCTGGTCAGTCCATCTTCTGGACAAACAACGCGCCGCACGCGGGAGGGAGTAAGGACACCTCCGTCCCAACGTCATATACAAAACGCGCACACGCGGAGCGGTGGTCCCCATGCGTAAAGCAAACACGCATAAAATTACGTATTCGTGGCTCTCGTCACCAGTCGGCGAGCGGGCGGATGTATTCTTAGAAAAACACGAGGCACGATTGATACGAGAGATGGACCACCGCGATATATATATTTGCCCGGCCGTGGTCGACCGCGATTGCAACAATATTAGAATTTCCGCAACATCGCCCGAAGTTCTCTTTCTCTCTCCTTTTCTCTCGTTTCCATTTTTTCCCCTTGCAATTATTTATCGAGGGAGAATGACGCAGAAAAATCCGTAATATTTTGTTCTACTGATTTTTACGAAGGCTTGTAATTGGGTTTACTATATACACTTTTCTTACTTCACGTAATTTTTTAAACATCTTCTTTGCAAGATGCAATGATAAAAAAAATAGAAAGTTTGTCTTTCGATGTAAAAATGTTTAACAAAGTTTGAAACGTTTTAAAATAAATTATTATTTTTCATACTATATAGAAACATTCTAGTTATGCTAATTGTTATCTCTGCAAACTCCATCGCTTTTAACAATCATATCTAATATTTTCCTGGAAATTCCCAGAAATCCAACCAGTCTCCGGATGACTTTTGATGATGATCCCAAACAAAGTTGTATCAAATACTATTATAAATACACCTCGAACTACAGATAGAAGAATATTTACTATTTATAATAAAATGTGTATAATAAAGTTTTAAGTTTATAATACTTTCTACAATTGTGAGGCGTCACATTGATGTGACGACCGCTCTAACGCAGCCCGTTACGTGACTCTCTCAACTGTGACCCGCAATTTGCGCGTCTCGCGGAAACGAAGCGCACCGGATGGACCAGTTTTCTGGCGGACAAAAGTTAACGACGTGCTCGACCGAAGCAGTGGTCAGTCACTCCCCCGATCGACCGGCAACTTGACCGGCCACCACCGACAGTTGGCGGCCACCGACAATCGTCCGATAATTGGCAGACATTGTCCCGCGCACGCGGCCCCGACCAGAAGCGAGGCGGAGGACCGTCGTCGTAACGCTTTACGATTTGTGTTGATCGCCGCCCGCGATCGTGACGCGGACCGATCGGAAATATGAATTTATCACCGATCACGTTACGGCGATGACGGTCGTGCCCGGGGTATCGATTATGAGGCGTTTGCATTATTCGCGGCCCGCTCGCTCCTCCCGATGTTTGCCCTCGTAAATCTGCCGCGATGACTGGATGTTGCGCCGCCGCACGCCGCAACAAGGTCGTGAAATAAGGAAAATTTGGGCAGGGATGATTATAGTGAGAATTACACGTCGCGCGTATGTCCCTTATTTCACGAACTTATCGCGTTAATCCTGCACGCGCTAATAACGGACGCTTCAATCACGTTTTTTTGTCAGTTGCAGCTCGTTATTCAATATACTATTTATTATAGATTAAGAAATGTGTATTATTTATATAAATAAATAAAATTTTTATATAAATCGTTTATTCTGTTTTATTATTATAGTTTCGATTTATTTCTTTTTGTCCCCGTTTCCATTGCGCGTTAAGTACTTACTTACTACGAATTTAAAGTTATAAGCCGAAGAAACTTAATTTCTTGCTCGTGCGTGCAAAGGATACAAATAGACATCTACAAAAAGGATTTTTCCTTCGATTGATTTACCAATAAATTTTTACAGTTAGACCTCGATTAATTTCATTTAGTCGAATCGACACGCGGATAATAAGATTGTACAACACGAACGAGATATCTTTGTTTCCCAATTAAGGGCACATAGGGCGGCAGGATTCTCCCGATTTCGTCGAATCACGACGTCCAGCACCATCTGTGTCCCTTGCGCCCTTTGAAGGATTGATCTGCCACCGGCAAGTCACATTCACACTTAACATTAAATTAATCGGTTTCGATTATCGCGCTATTGATTTTGCGATTTCTAAATCGAGATATATCCCCCTAATTTCTCGTGCCTAGCGTTTACAGCAATCAAATTCAAATAAATTAAAGCTTTTGACGAAAGCTCACATTTTACGTAAGTTAGATTTGCTATCGTGGAATATGTACCGGAGTACTTGACGCGAAGTCACTTTAATATGTCTTACCAGAGGTACACTGTTAAATTCGTAGTGTCTAATTATGCCTACTCATTTTGAGTTATTTTTAATCATATAGGTCGCCTACTCCTACTTAATATGTCGTTAATTTCACTAAACCAATATTAATTTAACTAAACCAATGGAGTTGAAATAATTTTGCTTTGTGTTAAAATAATAAATTTTGACACACACGGTAGTTGAAAATAACATCTTATTCAACTCAAAGTATTGGTTTAAATTTCATTTTCTAATATTCAACAGTGCACCGTACGCGAAATTTTTTTTTCCAAAGCGGATTCACGGTCCATTTGCTACGATTCCCCCGAGTTCCCGTCGTAATAAGAAAAACGCGCGCGATTTCCGTTGAAAAAAAAAAAAGCGCGTTTGGGGAAAGTAACTCTGTACTCACGAGCGGCGCTCGGTTGAATTTAAATGCGCGCACCCTTAAAATTACATCCCCATTTGAAAGTCGCCACCCCAGTCGTCATGGCGATTCGCCGCGGTCCAAGGCGGTTCAATTGCGGGACAAGTGCGCGCGGCGCGATGTATACGTACGCTCGTATATTAAACAATTTTTTCGGCCGCGGTTTTAAAAGGCGACAGCTGTCAGTCCCGGCTTGACAGACCGAAACTGCAATGCGCAAACCGGACACGAGCGGTTCATTAAGCGGAGAACTACCCCGATTTTTTTTTCAACGTGTTACAATAAGACCTTGGCGAACAGTCGTGTAAAACGTATGAGAGATTCACAAGTGGCATTTCGAGTTTCAGGCCGAAACGAACGTTCAAAGAAAATTTGTCCACGCGATATGTATTATTATTCTATTCCTATGTTATAATTAATTTTAATCACAATTAATTATAATTAATTAAATTAACGTCATTAATTATTTTATTTTATTATTATTATTACATTATATCATAAATATATTTATTTATTTATTTATCATATTTATATTAGCGTGGAGTATAAAAAGTCTCGATAGAAGAAGCATTACGGTTTTTATGTATTAATCGCTCGTATCAATGTAAATCGCGCGCTGGATGGAAACCGGCGACGGCGCTTCATCGCGATTACCGCAAAATCCACTCTCTGCGCTTTATCGAAAAACTATATATTCTATTTGCGGAATATTTATCTCGCTCTTTTTTTCTCGTTATCGTGATGTGTGTATATACCTCGACGGCGGCGCGAAGTTGCGCGGCACCGCGCGTTTGCGGTGATCAACCTCCGACGATCTGCGTCGGTTCTCCCGGGAGTTCGAGGACGATCGATCATCGTCGGAAATTTTACAATATCACGCGCGGCACACCGCGCGAATTAGGATACATGATCGATGACTTTCCAATCGCCGCGCAGCATTGTTCGGTGCTAAAGGGTCCGCGCGGAGGGCTCGTTACCTTCGTCGTGGCAATTTCCTGACCGGTTTCAAGCGACACGTTATACCTCCGCGTTTGCATTACGCGGATGAGATCTGGAGCACGTGAGGCGTATTATCGCGTGGGCCGTATGACGAAAAATAACAACAATCGATCTTCAGGCGAGCATGGCACACGTGCGCGGAGCGTTAAATTGAGGAGAAATTTTTTTCTTTCTAAATTATACTCGTAGGAAATGATTATAGGATGGTTTTACAAGAGCCGACGGCTAATAAAAGAAAAATTCAATAATTCGCGCGTAAGCTAATTATTGCGGGAAAATGCATTATGCGTTTAGAAAAAATTGTCCTTGTGTTGTCATTGGTGTTGAAACTTTGAGAAGAAATTCAGTTTTTCAATCGAATTCAGGTTTCAATTAATGTAATTAATGATTAACACTTTGAGTGTTATGTCATTCATATCTGGGATGATGAATAAATTTCCGCAAAAACCCCGTTTGTGAATGACGATCTTATTTACTCGATTAAGAATAATTTGACTAAACATTTAAGATATGAAATAAATAATATAAATTTTCTTAAGACATTAAAAAAGCAGTAAAATATTTAAATAATATATTATATTTATTAAGTTTAATGCCGAAACCAGCTTGGCATTCAAAGTGTTAATAAAATAATTAATGTAAGCTTTAAAATTGTGCTGTAAAATTGTGAAAAAATAGACAAGAATTGAAAAAGAAAATTATATATCTTCAAAATTTGGAAATCTCAAAATTATAATTCTTGAAAATATTGGAACATTTTTAGAATATCTCTGCCGATTATGTTTTCCTTCTACCTTACCGATGTTCGCTGTTGTCACGTTATCATATTACGATAAAAAATATAATAGTAAAGGCTTTTGATTTGTTTCACACGGAGCACGGAGCCGGGAGCGCTGAATCCATGCGTGAAATAACCTAAAATTTGAAACCGAGGACTTGCCCACGTGCGTTGTATTTGTGTGCATAATCGTTAACTAATTTCCCTTTTCGCGGAGTAAGTTTATATCTCTGTTTATTTAAAAGCCCATAAATATTAACAAAAATAATATTTCCAAATATCGACAAATGTAATTATAATATAGAAATCCCAGACTGTCGGTAATTTTAGGCTAGAAACTTGTTGATATACACTACAGTAATGTTTTATTATTACAGCAATATGTTACGGGCTTTCTAATTGACACTAAATAAGCAGAAAGGAGCGAGAAAGTAAAGAGGCGCCGATATGTCGTCCGCGATGGACGATACGGTGAAGCACAAGAGCCACAGGGACCGCAATGCGGGCCGTAAGGCGGAGAAGAAGAAGGCCAAGAAGACGCACGTTCAGGAACTGTCGGACAAGCAGAAGAATCCGAAAGCGTTCACCTTCCATTCGGCGATTAAAGCGGAGAGGAGGTTCAGGCGTAAGGAGGATATCGAAACCAAGAGGCAGCACATACCTTTAGTCGACAGAACGCCCTTGGAGCCACCGCCGGTCTTGGTGGCTGTGGTAGGACCGCCGAAGGTGGGAAAGTCGCTGGTCATTCAATGCTTGATCAAGAGCTACGTCAGACAGCCGTTGACCAACATACTTGGCCCGGTCACCGTTGTGTCGGGCAAGAAGCGGAGGATCACCTTCATGGAGTGCAACAACGACGTCAACAGCATGATCGACATCGCCAAGGTGGCGGACTTGGTGCTGCTGCTGGTGGACGCCTCCTTCGGATTCGAGATGGAGATATTTGAGTTTCTGAACATATGCCAGGTGCACGGTATGCCCAGAATTATGGGGGTACTCACTCACCTGGATCTGATAAAGAACGCGAGGCACATGAGGAAGACCAAGAAGACGTTGAAGCATCGGTTCTGGACGGAGGTGTACGCCGGCGCGAAATTGTTCTACCTCTCTGGATTGCTGCACGACGAGTACCTCCGCACGGAGATAAAGAATCTGGCGCGATTTATATCGGTCATGAAATTCAGGCCGTTGAATTGGCGCACCACCCATCCCTACATACTCGCTGATAGATTGGAGGACTTGACGCCACCGGAATTGATCAGGAAGAATCCGAAGGTTGACCGAAATATCAGTTTGTACGGGTATGTGTATGAGATAATTGAGTTGATCTTGAGTTATCTTCAAATTGATTGTATCTGAAACGCATTTTAAAGTTAATCAAAATTTCACGTATCAAAGTCTTCATTATACATTTTAATAAGTGATTGAATTTGCTTCCAGATACGTCAGAGGAATACCTCTGAACAAGGAGACATCCATTCATATACCTGGCTGCGGAGACATGAGGATCAAGGATGTGAACTTTCTGCCGGATCCTTGTCCGCTACCGGAGCATATTAAGAAGCGAGCCCTAGTGGAGAAGGAACGGCTGATTTATGCACCGTTCTCCGGCGTCGGTGGCATAGTTTACGACAAAGACGCCGTTTACGTGGAGTTGGGTGGCAGCCATTCCTTCAAAGAAGAGGATACAGGCTTAGCTGGCGCTTTAATGGATACGCAGGAGACGCTGGACCAGAAACTGCAGCACAGCGAGCTGAAACTGTTCAGCGACGCCGCGCCGATTAAGTCGCAGGACGTGAACGAAAGTATGGCTCCTTATACGGGCGAATTGGTGACAGAGAATGGAAGAGTTCGACGAAAAGTAATATTTAAAGACGAAGTAGCTACGCAAAATACCTTGAACAAGGATAATGGTGATAATCTAATAAAACATGAAGATGAAGATGACGAAGATGACAGTGATGACGATAATGACTACAAAATGGATGAAAATGATGACAGTGATAACGATAATGAGTACAAAATGGATGAAAATGACGAAAGTGAATCGAGCGACGAGGAGACTTCGGAAAAATCTAATGAAAAGGGCGTTAAGAGGAAAAACACTGAGGAAGGCAATGTAGAAAAGAAAAAGAAGAGGGACTCGATTAATTCAGCTATCGAAAATTATGTAGATGTCGATGAATCTGAATTAACGAACAATAAGAAGATAGATATTCCTCAAGAAAATGCAGGAGTGTATCATTCCTTGAGTAAAGAATCAGATAAATTGATAAAAAATAAGATCTCAGAAGCACTGAGTTTGTTGGAGGCAACAAAGAAACGTGAAAAGCGGGAAATTGATGACGAAAGCTTCGACGAGCTTAGCGACGAAGACTCGCGCGCGGGATTAGAGATGGATGATGCGGATCGGATCAGCGATTTCGAAAACGATGCTTCCGAAAAAGAAGACGAACAAGGAGAAGATGAAGGAGAAGAGAAAGGAGACATCAAGATGGATGAGAGCGAGGAGGAAGTCGCGGATGAATTTAAATGGAGAAGGAATTTAATTGAGAAAGCGAGAGAAGCCTATGTAAATCGCGCGCAAAGCAACAAGAACTTAATGAAGATGGTTTACGGAGTATTCGATAATAGTAACGTGATGGAAGAGAAAGAGGACAAGGAGGAGGAGAAGCTCGGCGAGAATATCGGTGGAATATTCCGCGTGGTACAAGAGCAGCAGAAGCAGAAGGTACTTGAGCGACAATTGCAGAATCAGGAGGAGTCTGTTTTCTTCACGATGGAGAGCCCACGCGATTGGCTGGAAGAGGAGAACAAGGCATTACTGATCAATCGTTTCGTGACGGGCAAGTGGAAGGAATCGGAGGATGCCGAGGAGCTTTTAAAGCTGGATGACGAGGATTTATATGGTGACTTCGAGGACCTAGAGACCGGGGAGAAGCATAAAGCAGAGGACGCGGCTCCCAAGGAGTTGTCGGCAGACGAGACGGAGGAGCAGAAGAAGCTCTTGGAAAAGAAAAAGAAGTTGAAAGAGCAATTCGACGCGGAGTATGACAATACGGAAAAGAAAACGTACTACGATGAGCTGAAGGCCGAGGTAGAGAGACAGGCGGGCATTAACAAGTCAGAGTTCGAAGGGCTGGACGACGATATTAGGGTCCAGCTGGAGGGCTACCGTCCTGGCATGTACGTGCGCGTGGAAATCGAGGCAGTGCCGTCCGAGCTGATAACGCATCTAGACCCGACGTATCCGATCATCATCGGCGGCCTGTTGCACGGCGAGGAGAACATCGGCTACGTGCAGACGCGAATCAAGAAGCACCGATGGTATTCAAGGATCTTGAAGAGTCGCGACCCGCTTATATTCTCCATAGGCTGGCGTAGATTTCAGTCGCTGCCGATTTACTCCAAACTGGAGGACAATTTGCGTCACCGGATGCTGAAATACACGCCGGAGCACGTGGCGTGCATGGGTCACTTTTGGGGCCCGATCACTCCGCAGGGTACCGGAGTTCTGGCGGTGCAGGACGTCGCGAGCAGAGAACCGGGTTTCCGCATCGCGGCGACCGGTGCGATCGTGGAGTTGGACAAGAGCACGCAGGTGGTGAAGAAGCTCAAGCTCACCGGCGTGCCAATGAAGATCTACCGCAAGACCGCGTTCATCAAGGACATGTTCAACAGCGCGCTCGAGGTCGCCAAGTTCGAAGGTGCCCGAATCAAGACGGTTTCGGGTATTCGTGGTCAAATCAAGAAGGCGATTGCCAAGCCGGAAGGCTGCTTCCGCGCCACGTTCGAGGATAAGATAATGCTGAGCGACATAGTATTTTGCAGGACGTGGTACAAGGTCGACGTGCCGCGCTTCTACAATCCGGTGACATCGCTGCTGTTGCCACCCGCGGAGAAGAATCGATGGCGCGGTATGAAGACTACGGGTCAGCTGAAGCGAGAGATGAATATTCACGCCGAACCCAACAAAGACTCTATATACACGCCGGTTGAGCGAGACGTCAAGGTATTCAGGCCGCTGTTCATCCCACGCAAGTTGCAAAAGGAGCTCCCGTACAGGGACAAGCCTAAACTCGAGCCCATACCGCACTTGCGTAAGCCCAAATTCAAGCAAGGCAGAGTCGCCGTAGTACGCGAGCCCCAAGAAGAGAAGATCGCGCGTATAATGAAGATGATCAGAACGAATTACACGCAAAAACAGAAACAGGCGAAGGAGGCCATGACAAAGAGGATAACGGCGTACCAGGCGAAAATCGCAGAGGAGGAAGCCAAGAAGATGATGAAGCAAAAGCAGGTGAAGAAGGATATCTTTAGGGATCTCAGTAAGCTGGAAAAGAAAAAGAATCGGTGAGGTTTCTGAGACAGGATATGAATATAGATTGAAATATCTTGAAATTGAGAAACTGTACATAATTTTTCCACATACGAATATATAGCCTGAAAATAAATAAATATATATATATATATATATACATATATATATATTTAATCGGAATGTTGAGTTTATTGGAAACGTTTGCACATAAGTTACAATAATTATCATATATTATCGAATATATTAGTCCATACAAAATATAACAATGTTAGAGCTGCGGCGTTTTTACAATATAGTTTGCGATCCACGCCACGATGTGATAGTATGATGGCCTGTCGAATAATTATCTCCGCCCTGAAATTACATACATCCAGACATTACGGTATCTATTTTAATGCCACTTGTACAATAGCCATTAAATATAATCATGTAAACACTGTAAACAGTTACATAACTCATTAAAAGTAATATATAATAGTATATATAATATGGTTTATAAGTATTTAATTATGTATAATTTCGTTTAAATGTCCGTATACGATCAAATCGCATTTCTCTCCATAATTTTTATATATAAAGTCAGAAGGATAATTATATGTAATTCTTACTTGTGTGAGCATTAGTAATTCGTCTTGCGTGTCGACGATTTTAACGGGGAACGGAGAACCTGGCACCAAGACACCAGCCCAACGAACCTCCACTCTGTAGTCCCCGGGTTCCGTCGGATCGTACCGACAGAGAATGATTCGGTCCTTTTGAGTCTCTCGTTGCATCTCCACCCTGAACGCTCCCTTAGGCCCACGTACTCTCACTGTAAGCTGACCGGCGCCGGCGCCTCGCGTGTCGCAGATAAATCGCGATTGGAAAGTCGCCAGTACGCCGTGCTCGATTCCCGGTCCGTAGACACGAACCTAATGTTTCGGACATTAATTAAAATTAAAATTTAATTTCGATAAATATCTTAATATCCTTAGTTTTATTGACTGAAATATATCAAACTTAATGAACGCTAGATTTTAACTTGGAAAATTTTGATGCTTTGGAACTACTATTCTTGTTAGCAAACTGAAATATTCAATATTAGATACCTTTGAAGCATCCGGGGCTCCGGAGACGCGTAACGTAAACGGAGAACCAGGAACGTGTTCTCCAGCATATTTGATCGTTAATGCGTGTCGTCCCGCCTCCTGAGGCTTCACGTTCAACGTGAACGTGGCATCGCCGTGATCGTACAGCTCGCAATACGCTACTTTGTGCGGTCCAACGCAATGCGCCGTTAACTCACCTGCGAAACGAGTCTTCAATTTAAAAAAATGTTGGAAGTAATATATAATTTTATTATAAGCGTGAAACGAGTTTTTACCTGGTCCAGCTCTTCTAGTATCGATAAAACTTCTGATTTCTTGTCCGACGACACCATGCTTCAGTCCATCTCCGGAACAGATAACCCTGGACGCGTCGGCCGCACTCGTAACGTTAATTTGCAATGGGCAACCCTTCAATTGTCTCCCATTCCACGACACGGTCATCAAAAGCGGATCCGGCGTTAGCGGTATATAGCTTGCACGATAAACGCTGTCGCCTGTTTCATCCAAAAAACATTTAGAGTTGCATTTTTCATCTCCATTTAACTTCGTTTATCTTTCTTTTTCTTACCCAAATGTTGTAACATGACGTTAAGTTCGCTGGTAGGCGAAAACAATTGCACTTTCGGAGTTCCGCTACCGGCTTGAGAACCGTCTATGGTAAAACTGACTTCCTCGCCGCACTTGGCCGACGTTAATCCTCGTCCCTTTAATAACACTCGGCTTGTGTCCTGCACTGGCGGCTAAAAAGATCAACAACGATAATTGCAGTAAAATATATAGTCGAAAGCGTGTTTAAAATCGAATCTCTGATTGATGAGAAACCTCCAAATCCTGCACGAGCGCGAGTTTCGGTGCACCGGGAAACGGTGTGCCGTTGAACAGTATCTCCAGGCGATGTTCGCCGTTGCTTATCTGCGGCGGAACGAGCTTCAACCTATTGCTAGATGTCATTTCGAAGGCGAGAGGGTGATCGCCGACAGTTCCACTGATTTCGCCGGGTCCGGCCTCTGCGGTGTCAAAGCTGATCTTGTTCGACGGATGCAATTTCAAGCGACCAATATCATCGCATACAGCGGACCAGCCACCTATAATCAATCGCGAATGCAATCGTAAGTTCAACAGAAACATCCTGGGAGTATTAAATACCGTTTCAATTATTCACCGATAACACGAAGATTCCGCGTGTCAATGATCTTCGGATGCCACGGAGATCCCGGCAGTTGTTGCCCGGCGGAAACGACCCTCACGTCGAACACTCCGACTTCACTCGGCACGTAAGACACGTTCCACGTGCCGGGATTAGCGCCGGCTTCAATGGTGGCCTTAGAAACACTGTCCGGTCCGTCCACCTGCGACGCGCACGGTTCAATTAAAAAAGAATCCCGTACATCCTACGCACAACTTGACGAAGCAACTTCTGTACTACGTCGTACCTGAACCGCCGGCGGACTTCTCGTGCCGGTGACGATAAAGTGTGCCGGTTTACCCACATGACCGCTCAGCAATCCTTCGCCTTTCGCGCGAGCCTGCCCGACCGCGTCGACGGTGCATACCACGGGACTTCCAGGTACGGAACATCCGCCTATCACCAGCAATTATGAATACAATATAAAAAATACAAACAACGCGAGAGAGACTTCTTTCTCAAGATTAAGCTCCTTACGTCTAAACGTAATTACCGTAAGTGACGTTGATCATGTAGGTACCGGGTACGCTGGGCGAGAACTCGATCATCTCGGCGCCATCGTTGAGCGGAGTGACCTGCAGCGGGATCTCTTGGCCCGATGGGCTTGTCGCCGTCACGTCCAGGTCGGCCGTCCCAGCGTCGGCTTTCATCACTGTAATCATCCAACGAATTGCGCAAACGATTATCCGCTATTCTTACGTCTGTTGTCGCCGAACGAACGAGTGGTCGCACTCTTCAATTGGTATCGTGCCGCGCGCGATGTGTATCGTGACTGTTCATTATGCGCGTAGCGCAAGGCTATTTGAAAGTAGTCTACGTCTACGTTTGAGCTATCTGCTGCGATTATGTTCTACGGCCTTGAAACGTAGTTGCATAGTGCACTAGAAAACGCTCGCCACTTTCTCCCGCCTATGCGTACGCGGCACATTTACATAAGCGCGTCGGACACAACGGTGAAATACACTTACGTCTTGAATAATATTGTGCCCTCGAGCGTTCACGTTCCAATCTAAACGATTACTTAGCAGTTAACGCTTTTCTCTAAATTCCAATAACTTGATTCCGATCGTATCGCTCAATTTAGGTCACGTCGATACTTTCTTCGCGCGTGAAAACGATCTTGTTCGCACGCTAACGAAAATATTGAATCGTATACATATGTAATACGCATATGAAAGGTATTTTTAGAAAATATAACGAATATAAGCTTTAAAGTTTACATTAACTATCTTATAAAATAATAATGTTAATCGAATAAAATTCACAATAAAATCGATTGCCTTTTTTTATGATTTCTGGTGCATTTTTGGCATTTTTTAAGTTTTATGTTAAGTTTGTTAATAATAAATAAAGAAAACATTGATGACACTTTTAATTTGCAAGTTGCTACAGCAAAATTGTTATAATTGCTGAAAATGTTTTTATGCCTACTTCCATATGTTTAATCTCCTTTACTACTACATCGATCACGCGTGTAAGAAGATGCATGCAATATACGCATTGTAACTATCACTCACGTTTGAATGCGATGTGGTCGTGAACAGAAATCGTCATGGGACCTAGTTCCTGAAGCTTTACTTTAGCTGCGTCGAAAGCTTGACAGAAGAATGGCGAGCCCAATACCGGCTTCGCTCCGTGCAACACGTCGATTTTATATGTGCCTAAGATAATTCAATAATAATTCAGTTCCTCTCTGAGAAATAAATTCTCAAGATATCTCATATATTACGATTTTCTCTGATCTTACCAACGCTATTCGTCGTGAATTCGGCAAGCAGATTGCCGTCGCGATGCTGATAACAACGTACGGGTACGGCATTACCCTGCGGACCGCTGATAACGACGTCAAACTCCTTGCCAGGACGCCCGAGAGTCTCGATCGTGAAAGATGTTATTTTTCCAACACACGATTGATACAGACCTAATCCCGTGGCCGTCACTTCCCGTCCTCCCGTTGGACCACGTACCGTCACATCCAATGGACTCCCTGCAAATTAGTATTATTAAGCTAAATTAGAATACGTCAAGTATTAATAAAAAAATAAGTACAGCTAAGTTATAATATATATGATATTTATAAATAAAGATATATAATCTCTGATAATTTATAATTAAAATTTTCATGTTCATAAACTTTAGCACAATGAGAATAATTTTGTTAAATAAACATAAGATACCCGGAATATGGACTTCGTTGTATTTTATGTGAACTCTGTGAGGCGCGGCTCGCGTGGGATGGAACACAATTTCATAAACACCATTCTCCCTTTCTCTTACTAGACTGTCCACATCAGCACCACCTGCACGCACATTGACGGATAATTTACCAGGACCAGCTTCCTTTGATGCAACGACTGTAAAAGAGAGAAATCAAATGCGTATTTTTATTTCAAAAATAATTTACGTCTTACTAAATTAATATCTACTAGACCAACTATTAAAGCTGAAACATCCTAATAATTACCTAAAATAGTTCCTGGCCGATGACAAACCGCGTCCGCTATTTCCTTGATGGAAACTTTGCTGGGATCGAAAGCTTGGAGTGTCTGCGAACTGACCATCTTGTGTCCGTCGTTGAATATTATACTGTACGATCCTACTTGTCGCGTTCGAACTTCCACGCGATATAAACTGGACGATAATTTGGTTAACGTGCACGGAATAATTATTCCATCCGGACCTAAACAAAAAAAGAAAATCATAAAACACATTATAGATAAGTTTTTAAAAAATTCTCATAATCGTGGTAATTTAGGCAAATAATTTACCGGTTACTTCCGCGGCTACAGGACCATTCAAATCAGACATATCCAGATCTATGTATGCCGTATTACCGACTCGAACCATCGATGGACCATGTAACATGCCACTAACGACGGGGCACTTAAATGGACTCCCTAATATAAAGAAAACATAATTAGTCTCTTTCAAGTTGATTTTTATAGGACGTTGATCAATTAAACTGTTCACAAACCTGGCACATTGTCGTCGTTGAAGCTGATATTAACATAATGTGTACTCGTCGTCTGTGGTACGAATGTGACGTCGTAAAGACCACGAGCGCAAGCCACTACTTCGGCTTTAACAGTGTTGTTCTCCGTGCTCACCACCAGTTCCAGCGTTCCCTCGCCAGCCTCTGCGGCATCAACGGTAAACGTGGTCGCCTGGCCAAGCAACGCCTCCGTGAGACCGGAGACATGTACCTGCAATCATTATGACAGCGTTGAGTTTAACGTTAAAATTATTTAACATATTACAGTCACACAATTCGGAACTTACCTTAGTCACGTCATAAATATTACAGGCGAACGGAGAGCCTTTTATCGATTCTCCGTCCACCAGGACGCTGATGTTGTGTCTACCGACTTCCGTGGGTACAAAGCTCACGTTGTACTTGCCGTCGATGGGCTCGATGGTAATGGGCAGAGCGATACCCGATGGTGGCGTCGCGATAACGTCACAATTCGTGGACGGAGTCTGGGGATCCACGGTAAAGGACATCAACCGCTTCACAGCACCCATTTTCAAATTATGACCGGAAATTGTCGCTTGACCCGCACCTATCACCTTGCAGCTGAACGGTGAACCTGGGAATTCAGATGGGACATTAATAAACGGAACGTATAACCAATAAAACTATGTAATTATATAAATTTTATTCTTACCTGGAACTGGTTCTCCATTGAAACGAACACTGAGACTATGTACAGCGGCTTCTTGTGGCTTAAAATTGACCCTGAACTTCGCGTTGCCCTCGCTTTGCACATAATTCGGAACGTTCTTGCCGTTCACTGCGACTATGATTTCCAGATTTCCAGCCCCGGCTTGACTGGCATTGACTAGATTAAAATTATAACATATTTTACATAATTGGTTCGTCGCATTACAAAGAGAATTAAAGAAAATTATCTTACTGCTGAAGAATATCGGTTTCCCAACGACCCCGCTATTTATATCCGTCACCTTGACTTTATCAGCGTTATAAGCTTTAACGAGAAACGGGCTGCCTTCCACGTGCGATCCATTGAGCTTTACTTCGACGCTGTGATCGCCTATATTATGAATAATTAATTTAAATACGTGATATATAATTTCACAATAGTATTTTTACTTAATTTACGCACCAGTATCCTTCGGGGTAAATCCAGCGGTGTAGGTACCAGGACTGTTCTGCTTAACGTGTACAGATAAACTCTCTCTGGTGGGAGAGAGCACCTCGACGACGGGTGTACCGAGAGATGCGTCGGCCTCTATTGTGAAGGTCGCGACACGATTCACAGATACTTTCTCGAGTACCTCGGTTACTAGCACTTTCGCCGTATCACTGACCTATATAGTTTGTTAAACAGAACAAACGCGTTGAATAAAACCTGGATCATCTTACGTTACATAATGCATACCAAGAATTACAAAGATAATTTTAATTTTAAATAATAGAACACTTTCATGCTCAGTTTACGAATTCATGATGTAGAACGAGAAATAAGATACCTGACAGCTGAACGGACTACCAGGCACGTCCTCCGCGTTGAAACGTAAGTCCACGGTGTGCACGATCGGTTCTCGGGGTGTGAACGAGATCGCGTACGTGTGAGGACCCTGCGCCTGTGCCGACGTCGGCACACGTCCGCCGTTTACAGTTACTTCTAGATTACCTGGTCCCGCCTGACTAGTCTCGACTAGAATTAGAAAACAAGATTTACCAACAAATTCGCATAACGCGCATAAACTCGCGTGTCGCAGGCGCAATCGTGTGATAAAAACCGTACCTAAGAAAGTTACGGGCATGCCGATGACACCACGTTTCGCATCCTTCACTTTTATCGCGGTGACGTCGTACACTTTACAGCTGAACGGACTGCCGACCACCGGGATGTTTCGATAGTTCACCGATATCCGGTGCTCGCCGACGACTCTCGGTGTGAACGCCACGCTGCATGTCGTATCTTTGTTGTCAGTGACCTGAGCAGGTACGGCCTGTCCATTGGGTCCTATCAAGTCCGGCGGGTTAGTCGTTTAATATTATTTAGAGTCAAGCCATCTACTTGGGGTGGATCGCAGGGTCACCGGAGCGGCCAGCGAAGAGGTTCGCGCAAGTCCGATCGCTCTCGCTATTGTTATATATGACGTAAACTCGCAACAAGCAACGTTAAAGAAAGCGGACTACGCGTAAGAAATGGCTACGATAAATAAATTGTTACTGTGACTAATATGGGAGAAAGCCGTATATCTCGACCTTATATACGTTATACATCTAGTTCGCTTCAGCTTGGCTCAAACGCGCTTGGGGGAACTAATGTAAGATTATCCTCTAATACGTTTCCAACATGCTTGGCTGAGCAGAGCAACCGCGGCAGAACGAAGACGCATTAAAAAAAACTATGTACTAAGTGTTATCAGATAGAAAAAAATATTTTATAACAGCTTCGTTCATCCATGAGATTGAACGTGATAATGTAAAATGTATGCTAGTTAAAGAAGAAATATTGGAATAGAGAAGAAATATTGGCACTTGTTAAGGCATTGCACATTGCATATTGAAACAATTGCGTATTGAAATCTTAGTTTAAAGGCACGTATCATTGCATTGGAACGTTTAACGATTATACACAACTTAAAGTAAATATATAGCACCATGAACATGGCTTTGACACAAGTCAAATACACCTCGCGAGCACACAAGAAAAGTGGGTGATTACGAAGTGATTAGATACGACTTCCTTAGCTCTCCCACAATCAGTAAAACCCAAATTAAGCGCTCGTAATACTCTCAAGTGGTAACCAACGAGTACAAGAGAAATGTGTGAGTAAAGTGGTAATTAGGCTACCCTTATGCAAGACTTTTCAGAAAAACTGAGTTAGGAACCCACCACCGTGTGCATTAATCCACAAATTAAGATAAAAGGGAGATTAGTTTCTGAGAGGTCTAGTAATGTCGTAGTCTGAAAGCTGGCCGACCTGCAACAGAGAGAGAGACAGGATTGCTCTCAAGCTATATAGATTAACGAGACACAGATGAACAATTCTGTACAAGTCTCCACGACACGTACGTCGTTACGTTCGTGACATTAAAAACAAAACAGGAAATCTCTCTGGTATTAAGTACAAGGTGAATTAATACATGGATGCTTCTGTGCATTTTTGTTGGTGACGTTATATATATACATATACACGTGTGCATGTGCGTGTAAGTTGTGTACATTCACATACATGTGTCACAAGTGTATATTCCTTAACAGAAATATAATTTTGCGAGAAAACATCAATCGCATATTTAAAAAAAAAATTTTATTCGTATAGAACCCTGCTAAAATAATTAATTTACGATCTCTCAAATAAAGCACACATACATGCTAATAAGAAAATTACTTTTGTGACTCGTGCGATATTGTGGAACGAATTTCATGCAGCGACAATTACCTTCAACGTTAACTTCTAAATCTTCCAAGCTACCGGCAACGTTACTGACGGTCAGATAGCTTTGCCGTCCTAATCCAGCGCTGCTTAATGCCTGTCCACTCACAGTTACGTGACTATCGCCGCCCACCCTTGTCACTATAGGGCAGCCAGGCACGGTTTTCTTGTTGAAGGCAATGTTGATAACGTGCTCGCATGCCTCAAACGGCACAAAACTGACGGAGAACCGCGCGTTTCCTTGCGGCGTTACCTGAGTCGGTATGTTTTGACCGCGAGCCGATATCGTGATCTCCAAATTTCCTTCACCAGCTTGACTTGCATCGACTGTGATTGACAAGAAATATTATATCAATTGAATTCTCAGGTTCAATACAATGCATTAGAAACATTTATTGTATCTTGGGAATTAAATACTTAATTTTCAATGCTACTACATACCAGTGAAGTGGGTTGGTTGACCGACACTGCCTCTAGCTACAGGCCCGATTAGCACTTTGTCTGCGTTGAATGCTTTAGCCAAAAACGGCGTGCCATTCACGGGATAGCCATTATATTCTACGCTAATTGAATGTACTCCCACTTCCTTCGGTATAAACTCCGCGGTAAAACCGCTGCTTACGTTACCAGTGACTTTAACTGGCAACTCACTGTTTGGTCCTAAAATACAAAATCCAGGTGTGATTATCCAGCAAGTAATTAAGTATAATTATCTGATAGAATTATTATAAATGTATAAATATATTATTTTATTGAAGTTTTCTAAAAATCTTGAAATATATCACATCGAAGGAATCATATCGTAATCTCTATCGTAAAAAATGTTTAACGAGTTTGACTTACCCCTTACGTAAACCGCTAACTCCGCGCTGCCGCTTCCGTCGACTCCCATGTGAAAGCTGGCAGGTTGGTCGACCGGGATAAGTTCTAAGTGATTCAAACTCAACGTGACTCTACTTGTGTCTGACACATTGCAGATGAAAGGACATCCGCGTACTGCTTCTCCGTTAAACTTTATGTCGATATAATGCGGCTTGGCGACCTCGGGGGTGAAGGATACGAGGCAACGGCCACCGCCCACCACTTGAACGTGATTGGGCACCTCTCCCTCGTTTATGGAGATCTCTAATTGACCTTCTCCAGCAGCGCTGGCATCCACTGCAAATATTACAGGCATTTGAAACACATTCACAGACGCGAGACGGTAAGGTGCGACCTAATGTCTCACCTCTGAATTGACAGGCATGTCCGACCACGGCGCTAGGTACGTCAGTAACTTGGATCAGACTGCTGTTGTACACCTTGGCGACGAGTGGTCCCGCCGGTAGCTTCTGTCCCGCGATGCTGACTTCCACGAGGTGGCTGCCCACTTCGGTGGGCGTGAACTCGACGCGGAACTCGCCGGAACGTCCGGGCTCCTCGTCGATTCTCGCAGGAATGTGCCTCTTCGAGGGTGCTGCAATTTATCCGTGACGTGTCAAACATACTTGCGGCTTGTTCATTCAAAAATAATCAACAGACCGACACTCACTTATGATCTGAACGTCGATCTCGCTGCTGCTGAAACCTAATGCAGACAGCTCGAAGAGGGCGGGACTGCCAGCGGGAACCAGCCTGATGGAATCACCGATCACTGACATCTTCGGTGCAGGCATGATGCCGACTCGCCAAGGTGATCCTGACAATTGAACAATTAGCACGTGATTAATCCAACAGTTTGACACAAAAGACACTCCTCAAACATCTTAATACTCCAAAAAAAAGGAGTTACCGCACCTGACAATTCCGCTTACAGATAACTGATCAAAATTACATTTTAAATCATTTTTCTTATTTGATTTTTAGGCGACTCAGCGGATTATTCCGGAGTACAAGTTTTCTGCAGTTGCACTACATACAGTTGTATTTTCTGCACTTAGAACGAGAGATAAACATACATAATCAGATGTCGAGGGAAAAGAAGGAAAAAAAAGAATACGGTTGCAAAGAACAGGTTTCTAGAGATAAGATGAATCTCCGAATGCTTCTCCGCGACACGGGCGTCGGTCTGTCAATTAAAATTCGCCGACGGCCAACGTGTGGGTCGAGGGGGGCCGATACAGGCGTCATCGCTTCCCACGCTGATTTTCGCGCGTAAACAACGGGCCCGGGTCGCCCTTTCGCGGCGCACCGTTACGCGGATTCGCCGATTATAATAACAGTACTCCGATATAGGCCGGCCGCGCGGCCGCCTCGAATCGAATTCCAGATCCCCCGGAAATGCAACGTGACCCGCCGTCGCCGCGGCCGTGCGCGCGGGGCCAGGTCTCTCCCCCCTAACCTTCCTGCCACGCGCACGATCGACGGCGCTGTCAAACCAGCTTCGCGAGGGGGTGAAAAAATCGTAAATACGTAGATAGATAATCACCCGTGCGTACAGATAATTAACTCGCTCGCGAGATTAAAGACTCGCGAGACGAGAGCACGGGGGAATCGGGAGAAACCGGTATGACTTCGGGGGGGAACCGTAACTCTCTCGCGCGCGGCGTCTTGACGGCGGAGACGCGCGGAAAAACGGGGGCCCCGATCGGCTCCGATTGCCGATTGCTCCGTTTCTCCGTCGTCCGCGGGACTTGTATCTCCACGACGGAAGCCCGAGCACGAGTTTGTCAATTTACCTTGGCGACTCGCGGCACGGGAGGGAACCTGGAAAGACGCTGGAGGAACCTAGATCAAAAAGGGGAGAAAGGGGGAGAGGGGGGGACGGACGGGCGGATCCGGATTGATCCCGCGATCGGGCATACGAATGAAGAAGACGACGACGTCTTGCTGACGCGTTTCACTCGCGCCTCAGAATCCACGGGGCGCCCTGCGACGGGACGGTGCCCCTCGGCCTCGAGGCCGCGCGGCCACGAAATCGGCGGCTGGCTGCGCGCTGCGCGGGACGACGACGTTGATCGCGGCGACGTCGCGGCTTCCCGCAGCCGCATCACGCGGCGAGACCTCGCTCCGTCTCTCTCCTTCCCGTCCTCGGGTGGGCCCGGGCACAATCCTGACAATCCCCTTTGGGCCCGGAGACACGGGAGAACACTCGAGAAACACTCGCGGCGCGGCGAACGAGGCGCGAGAACGTCGGAGAGAACGTCGAAGAGCGAAACACGGAACGCGCGAGCCGACGCAACGCGGCGGACTCGACCGAGACTCGAGCGACGGGACGAGCGTGTGTGCACTGTGTGTGCCCGCGCCGCGGAGTGCGGACCGACCGCCGCCGCCGCTCGGGGCCCGGGCCCAGGGCCGTACGCCCCACGTGGCGCGCGCGGCGGGGGATTGGAGTCGGTGTCGGGATTATGACAGAGATACGATTTCCCGTTTTACCTTACTCCTGTAGAGATACAAATCTGTGGG